TATTAGATAGCTTGCGATACAAGTCAAACATATACATATATAAAACCCCAAAGAAGCTTGGATCGTATCCATTGCTTGAAGTAGCCAAGATGTGTCCAATAGAACCCCAAGCAAGAACATCAACAATGTTGAATCCAAGAGGATCATTCAATTTGAAGAGACTAACATATTCCTTAGCACGATCATCACCGGCTTCGAAATGGGTTTTTCCGTTTTGCTCCGGTAAGCCCTGTTTTACGACATTCTCTCTCTGGAAGTTGAAGGAGACGAATCTGCCAAGGAAGAAAGATGACATTCTCTCTCTGGAAGTTTAAACCCTGATTTCAAGAGACTAACATTTTTTATAATGTTTTCATGATTATTGCTTTCCTCATACTTTCGTAGTATTTTTTATGTTTATGTACTAAGAACCTTGTTTTAACACTCTTTGTTAAGATTCCCAAGATTCTTTTAGTTATGGTATGTTTTTTCTTTTTCTCTTCATTTTTTTATAACTTAAATATTAGTACTTGTTCGGTTTTACTTATTTTGTACTAGTATTTAGTTGCTAATCAATTAATATTTCTCTTCGCTCCTTCCTAAACTTTAATAGATTTGTGTTTCCAAGCCTTTTTTTATTTGACATTATAATGAGCTTGAAGAAGAAGTATATGGGAAAATGGAAGAATGGTGTAGTAGAACCGAGATTTCGAAAAGCTCATGACCAGAAATGTTTTGAATTGCCCAAGTTTATTTGGGGTGCTGATGGTATGGCTCTGGACTCTTTTGAAGATGATTGGTTCGGAAGTTCTTTTCTTGTTCAAGAAATTGCCTGTTTTTGTATAAGTGAAGATTCAGTGAAACATAGATGGAGCATGGTGCAAACAGAGAACAAGAAGATAACTAAAGAGGAATTGAGAGTGTTGGAGGCAAAAGATTTTCGTATCGCGCGGGAAAAATCATACCTTTTGAATGAGGTGACTTCTGCCATGCTTGAAACATTTATCCCTGAAAGAGGAGAGTTTTTTTAGCTAAGTTATTTGGAATTCCAAGAAGCATAGAATCTAGGAGTGACGTGGCATATGGACTTAATAGAAGATATATGCGAATATGGAAGTTGAAGATATGGAAGWAGATACGGGAAGTGTGCGTATCAAYTTAGGGCAACCTAGAAGATTCACTTACTCGAAGAATATAAAAAGAGGGAAGTGAAYTCTTTTAGGGTTGGCCGTTTATGAGAAAAAGAAAAACATCGCRGCAGTTTTTCTTATTGAGAGAGTTTTGTGAGCTCTAGAAAACGGGTTAGA